TGCACATCCCCCACTGGGGAAGTGCCTGCAACCCAGGTACATGCCCTTGACTGGAATCGAACCTGGGACCTTTCAGTCCGCAGGCCGACGCTCTATCCGCTGAGCCAAACCGGCTTTGGCTGCATAGGAGATTTATTGTATTAGAAATTAAAACTAAGAACATTAAATACTATTAATTAAAAAAATAAACCCACGATGTGTTGTTGAATTTTGTGAAAATATCTGTATTTCCCAAAACAAATGTAGTGAGAAGAGTGACATTTGTTTCACATTTCTGCCAATCTCTTGAATCTCTGGCTTGATAGACGATAGCTGGACTCGTACATCTGCTGCTGCACTCACTCTCTTGAGACGTTGTTTTGGTTGAAGCCTAAGAAGAAAATTGGGCCTCACGTGACTATTCTGCATGACTACATCAAAACTTTCTAAGTGCTAGTTTCTTAAAAGTTTAGTGCAATGAGGAAACTGAAATCATATCAATGAAATTTTAGTATTTGCTACATTAAAAGCCATTGGTCTATCTTGCACTTTAAATGCACAGTTTTGTAATATCATGCATTGGTGGCTTGGTAATATTGGTTTGCTGAATTATACAGATCTTCCAAATATTGTCATGTTTCATGATATAGTATCAAAGATTTTATTTGTTCATATCACCACTAGTCTTATCAGAAAAGTCTTTAAGTATGAGGAAGATGTCATGGTCACTGGTGAATAAAATTTCCTAAAATTCAAATTTTTGCTTGAGGACTCGAATGTTATCATTGCCAACAAATACTGGAGGTGACTCAGTTCATTTTTGAGAAAATGTATGGCAAATATTCAATATTCTGAATAACCACAGTTTATCTGTCAGTTTTCTTTCAAGCAAAAATGGATTCCATGAAGAGTTGTTTCAGCATACAACTCAATTGCACAAGTTCTTTTTGTGTGCTCCCCATAGTCATAACAGAATATTAAAAAGGTATGTTCTTGAAGGCTGAGATTGATAAAATTAATAGGTTTTACTACCTTTATCAAGGACATTTTTAAGTGAAGTTGGCTTTTTCTCCTGCAAGTGCATAGTGCCACTGCTTCGCATCATGTTACGTAAGGTGCCTGCCAGCAGCTTTAATATCTTAACGTTACTAAAATAGGTTTGACCGTATGCCAACTCCGCCTCCCCCCCCTCCCCCCCAAGAATCCTGGGGACTCCATTGGTGAGAACCATTGGTGTACAAGATATAGGCTTTGAAAAATGAGTCAAACTTAGATAGGATAAGATAAGGAAGAGAAGAAATATCAAGACGGTATATCTAAGGGACCGTGGGTAGGATATAGATTTGGCTGAAAGAGAGAAGCAGAGGCAGATAACGCTGAAAAGATACTGTGAAAGGCCCGGCATGCCTTCATGGTGAACAATTAGGTTTAAACCAGACGGGAAGAGACTAGAGTGAGTGGATTTTTGGTTTGTTTTTGAAAGTTGTAGCTTCAACTTATATAAAGTTAAAGCTGGCCATATGTACATTTACTAGTTATAAAATAAAAACAATAGCATAGCTGCTTTTCTTATAAGGAATATTTAGGGAATGAAAAAAATAAAAAGCCTTGTCATAGTACTTAAGCTACAAAAGAGTTGTCACCATTTCGTTTGGGCAAATGAAACCAAAAAGTTAAGTAACTTCCCAAGGGATGTGACTTTCAACTCTGATTCTGTAACACTTCATGTTGTCACCCATTATCTCAAGGCATTTGGGGAAAGTCTGAAAATAAATTTATCAGCCACATGTATATCTATATATCCCATGCAATCTTTGAAAAGAGGGCACAAAATGGTGTCATGTACACAAATAAATATGTTAACTCTAAAGAGACTGTATAGTTTGAATATTTTCTTCCCTTCAAGAACTATTTTTTTTGTAATCCTCATTTGAGGATATTTTTTCCCCATTGATTTTTAGAGAGACTGAAAGGGAGGGATGGAGGGAGGGAGAGAGAGAGAAACATCAATGTGAGAGAGATACATCTAGGGCAGTGGTCAGCAAATTCATTAGTCAACAGAGCCAAATATCAACAGTACAATTGAAATTTCTTTTGAGAGCCAAATTTTTTAAACTTAAACTATATAGGTAGGTACATTGTTATTAACTTAATTAGGGTACACCTAAGGCTTTGGAAGAGCCACACTCAAGGGGCCAAAGAGCCACATGTGGCTCGCGAGCCGCAGTTTGCTGACCACGGATCTAGGGGATTGAATCTGCAACCCAGGTACATGCCCTTGACTGAGAATTGAACCTGCAATCCTTTGGTGAGCCGGCGGGCCGGTGCTCTAACCACCTAGGTACACCAGCTCAAGAACGATTCTAAATAATAATAGGTTAAGCTGATTAATAGGGGTAGTATGTTAGCTGATAGAGGTTTTGTTAAAACATAACAACTGAGGAAAATCAACATTTGAAAGTGACTGCTAAGTTTCATCAGAGTACTGATGGATACAAAGACCTTTTAGTTCTTATTTTTAAATATCAGATCAGTAAATGAAGGAGGAAAAGCAATTCAAAATCATAGTCTGATGACATCTTCTTTCACTCAAGAAAAGAAGGATGCTACCCCACCATTTCAACATGGCTTGCTCTTCCAGCACTTGGACCTGGCTCCTTTAAATACCCACATTTTGTTATACATGTTTGCACATACACCAACACACACACACACACACACACACACACACACACACACATTCCCTCTCTCTCTCTCTCTCTCTCTCTCTTATGGTATGCTTCTCCTCCCCAATACATTTTAAAAAAAATTATCAAAATTATTTCAAATTAATCCCAATATGAATGTTTTACTAAACAATAAAAATGTTACTAAATACAGAATAAAGCTATTTATTATTTATTCATTTTTTGGTAGGATAGGGACCAGAGAGTATAATATAGTTCAAATAAAGTAGCCACCTGGCTTGACAAAAAATAAGTACTTGCTAAAGGTAGAAAATTATTATAAACATTGAAAACAAATGGGCAAAATATCTCATATATTTTACAGATTTTGCATTTTAAAATTATAGTTCACCAGAAACTATGCTTTTTGTTTACATTGATACTAAAGTAATTACATTTTGGATTGAATTATAACTGGTAATAATTTATCCCTTTGTATATAAAATAACATTCTTTCTGTATCTTAGATTAAAATGTATAATATTAAAAAGCTTATAAAGTAAATTGCAAACTAAACATAAAGTCATATATATGTTTCTGACAATGGGGAATTATTTACAATTACTGTTATAAAATACCAGACAGCCCGGCCAGAGTGGCCCAGTTGATTGTCCTGTGCACTAAAAGGTTGCCGGTTCAATTCCTGGTCAGGCACAAACCTGCATGTGGGTTGGATCCTCAGTTGGGGCACATATGGAAGGCAACAGATCAATGTTTCTCTCTCACATCAATGTTTCTCCTTCTCTAAGCATGTCCTCGAGTGAGGAATAAATAAATAAACAAATAAAATGCCAAACATGGGTAATATATCCAAGTTATAGGATAGTTATGATGAAATAAAAGTATATTTTTAAATTAATAATTTAGTAAATTTGTTCATTTGCATACAAAGCAAACATCACCATTATGACTAACTAGAGGCCTGGTGCACAAAAATTTGTGCACTGGGGGGGGGGGGTGTCCCTCAGCCCGGCCTGTGCCCTCTCGCAGTCTGGGACACCTCGGGGGATGACCACCTTCTGGCTTAGGCCCGCTTCCTGGGGGATTGGGCCTAAGATAGCAGTCAGGCATCCCTCTGGCAGCCCAGGAGCCCTCAGGGGATGTCCATTTGCCAGCGGGGAGCAGGCCTAAGCTGCAGTCAGACATCCTTAGTGCTGCTGAGGAGGCGGGAGAGGCTCCCACCACCACCACTGTACTGGCAGCTGTCAGCCTTGCTTGTGACTGGGCAGAGCTCCCCCTGTGGGACTGCACTGACCACCAGGGGGAAGAGCCTGCATTGAGCATCTGGCCCCTGGTGGTTGGTATGTGTCATAGTGACCAGTCATTCCCAGTTGTTCTGCTGTTAGGGTCAGTTTGCATATTACCTTTTTATTATATAGGATAGAGGCCTGGTGCACGGGTGGGGGCCGGCTGGTTTGCCCTGAAGAGTGTCCTGGATCAGGGTGGGGGTCCCGTTGGGGTGCCTGGCCAGCCTGGGTGAGGGGCTGATGGGTGTTGCAGGCTGGTCACACCCCTTCAGGGTGGGAGTCCCCACTGGGGTGCCTGGCCAGCCTGGGTGAGGGGCTGATGGCTGTTTGCAGGCTGGTCAAGCCCCCCTCAGCGGGGACCCTCACCCCATAGAGGTTTGGCCAGCCTGGGTGAGGGGGGGCTGATGGCTGTTTTCAGGCTGGCCACACCCCCTTTAGGGTGGGGGGTCCCCACTGGGGTGCCTGGCCAGTTTGGGTGAGGGGCTGAGGGTTGTTTTCAGGCTGGCCAAGCCTCCCCGGTGATGGATGCTCCCAGCCTCTCCTTTTTTTCTTTTTTTTTATTCTGGGATTTATTTACCTTCTATAATTGAAACTTTGTAGCCTGGAGTGGAGCTCAGAGCCAGCCAGGATGGGCCTCCTGCTCGCTACAGCTCCGTGGCCACGGCCCGCTGAAAACAGGTATCTGGGGTTTATTTACCTTCTATAATTGAAACTTTGTTGCTTTGAGTAGAGCTCAGAGCTGGTTGGGAAGCTTGGCTTCCTCCATCATTGGGGCAACCAAGCCTCCTGCTTGCTCCAGCTCAGTGGCTGCCAGCTGCCATCTTGGTTGGGTTAATTTGCATATAGCCACTCTGATTGGCTGGTGGGCGTGGCTTAAGGCATAGCAAAGGTACAGTCAATTTGCATGTGTGTCTTTTATTAGTGTAGATGTGCCCAATTCCATGGGGTTCTGAATGTGTGAATCTTATTGCTGTGCTGTTTTTTTTTTTGAAATAGGTGACTTCAATCCAAATCCCTCTGTTTCTGGATACATTACAGTGATATAAAGTTTTAGAGAGTAAAACATTTTTATTGAAAGATAAGATTTATAAACATATTCATAATACAAAAATGTGAGTTTCTGCAAACAGGAGATTTGATTGGTTGCAATACTAGACTTACTGAGTTTTACACATGTGCAAATGTGTCATGGCTAGGAGAAGGCTTTTCTTCTTTGCTGAAGTAGGGTGGCTGGATTAAGCACAAGACTAAGAAGATCCTAACTTTGCTTCAATTACTCTTGTTCAGCATGCCTTGTGTCAACAATTGAACTATATATTAGACACATGCAGTAAAGAGGTTTTGGCAGATTAGACAACTCTTGGCTGGGAGCTGGTAATTTTGAGGTAACTGATTTCCTAGATGTGCTGCTATTGTCGGTTCTCCAAGTCTCACTAATGTCAATAGGCTATGCTCTATCTCCCTTTTCATACTCATCTAATAAATAGTATGTCACTCTGATCCCGCCAGAAAAATCAACAGGCTGCCTGAGAAAATATCTTACTTGCTGTGCGTTTTACTTAATTATAGTTTTAGGAATGAAAAGCTAGAAAGTAATGAAAAAACCAAAAATGACCTGTCCATATTTGGATCTTTCCTTGGGATTTTAGGTGCATCAAACTTTTAAAAAACATATAAATGGGTATTTGTGAAAATAAAGAGCCAAGTAACTTTTAATATATATACAAACAAAAGGAGGAGAAAGAAGCTAAAACCTAAAAAGCATGCTTATCATTACTGTTCATAATATCACTTTGAGTTGGTGAGGTCAGATCAGCTGTAGGTAGTGTATTCATTTACAATATACCTACACTCCTGGAAACCCTCCAATTAGTCAGTGCTGACAAGGTTTCTGCCACATCAACTCTGATCCTTTGCAGCAACAGCTCTGACTGGACGAGGGGACGCCTATACTCCTCAGTGACTCTCCGCACTGGCCGGCTTTACCCCATTTCAATGCGGTGAATGAGGAATATTTACGCTAAGTGTATTAGCGTCAGTAATGCTGCAGTTGCTAATAAATGGCTATAGGTTGGTATAAAACTGCTTAATTAAACTTGCGTTAAGTAGAAGAGAGGCTGGCAAAGAATTTGAATAACTTATTACTTTGCTTACAAAATGAAATGTCCAGTATATCATAAAGGAGTAATTCCAAAACGTTAAATAAAGCACATTATCTTCTGAAGTCTATTTGTCTTTGAAAATTTGTAGTCATTAAATGAAATTTATTGTCTTTTCCCAAAGGGCATGCTACTGCTATGTACCTTTACTTAAATATTATGATGATTAATAGAGACTGCTCTCATGGATATATTTGTCTGAATGTGAAAAGGCTATATTATTTGTTTATTTAATCCTCACCCGAGGATATCTTTTTTAAATTGGTTTTTAGAGAGAGAGGAAGGTGGGCAGGGAGAGAGAGAGAAAGGAGACATCAATTGAGAGGAGAAAGACTGATTGGATGCCTCCTGTACGCATCCGGACGGGGATCGAACCCAACCCACAACCTAAGTGCCCTGCCTGGGAATCAAATTTGCAACCTTTTGGGTTATGGGATGATGCTCCAATCAACTGAGCCACCCAGCCAGGGCAAAAGTCTGCATTCTTAGTGTTTACCACAAACCCAACGCAGCTGATGGTCCGTCTGCAGGTCAGTCAGTTCGACAACAGTTCTCCAGCTACACTGGCAGGCATAGGCCCGTGCTCCTTTCTTCTTTACCAACTTTGTTTTTAATTTGTGGAATTCTGGCATGTTGTTCCTATTAGTAAAACATGAATGTTTTAGAACAGTGGCTTTTCCAGTGCGTAATGACTTAAAACAAATTCTAGTTGCTTTATTTTCCCATCTTTATTAACATCTGAACATTCAACAAACCTTGGTTCCCTTCACACAGATAATAGCGGATATGCTTCCGTGTTCTTTCTGATGGCATTTCCTCAGTAACTAGCACTTTTCCATGGCATTTCTCTAGGCCTGTTTATTAAGGCTAATTAGAACATAATGACCTGATAAAAGCTGAAAAATTACGATTTGCTTTATCAGAGATGACATGGTATGATAATACGGTGACCGCTTCTCTGACTCCTGGCTCAGATCAAGTGAGAACAGAGTGCAAAGGGTGGTGGTTCATCTCCTACCTCAGATACTTACTACACCAAATGCTAACGTCTATTTGTCTTCTTAAGTCTATTTGTCTTCGAAAATCTGTACAGTCATTAAATGAAATTTATTGTCTTTTCCCAAAGGGCATGCTACTGCTATGCGCCTTTACTTAAATATTATGATGATGAATAGAGACTGCTCTCATGGATATATTTGTCTGAATGTGAAAAGGCTGCATTATTTGTTTATTTAATCCTCACCCGAGGATATCTTTTTTAAATTGGTTTTTAGAGAGAGAGGAAGGTGGGCGGGGAGAGAGAAAGGCCGGCAATATGGCAAATGGAGGGGATATGAGAGGCATAAAAATTATGCTCTTCTGATGGGTTAAGTATAGAAATTTTTCATTACTAGAGAAAAAGTACCTGTTAATTCCATGTGTTGAACTGACATATCTTTCGTTTTTTAATGATATGTTATTTACTTATAGTGTCAGCAATAAAATAATACCTAACCTACATTAAGTGACAATGTTAAAATAATTAAATCAATTGGCAGGACCATCATGAAAATGATAACCATCTGATTGATGTAATTATAAAAAAAGACTAGAGAAGTTAATTTATGTTTAATTAATTGAAAGTCAATTATGATTTTCAAGATAATCCACATACTGAATTTATCTAACTATTCCATGGCAGAAGAAAAATATAAACTTTCAAAATAGAATGATAAATGCAAAGTAAAATGATGAAACACAACATAAATATTAAAAAAAAAGAGATATAGTCCCATCTTTTTTGGTCACTGCAGAAGGCAGGCTACAAAGTGCCCTCTGGTGGCCAGTGGACACCACATTCAGTCCTGTACTGTGCAAAATCCAGGCACAATTTTGAAGGTTAGAACCTCACAAAATCAGAGAGATTTTCCAGGTCAACTGTCTGACTCAAGAAACTGAGACTTTGACCAGCTAAGTCTTAGCTAAGGTTATAGTGAGCCAGGGGAAGAAATGAATCATCTAAGTTTTGTCAGAAAGAAAAAAAAATCCACAAAACCATGTGTTTAATGAATACTAAAAAGTTAAGTGAAGAAAAATGTTTTTTATTCAATCTGCAATATATTTTGACAGATTTAACATCTGATACCTGATTTAATTTTTAAAAAAATGTTTTTTAAAGTTGATTTTTAGAGAGGAAAAGAGAGGGAGGGAGGGAGACAGAGAGGGAAACATTGATGTGAGAGAGAGACATCAATTGGTTGCCTACTGTACCAACCTGATTGGGGATTGAACCTGCAACCTGAGTATGTTCCCTGACCAAAAATCGAACCGAGGCCTTTTGGTGCACAGGACGATGCTCCAATCAACTGAGCCCCACAGGCCAGGAAGTGACCGAATCCTTAATTAGGGGTTTTAGGAGCGCCAGAGCTGACTCCTGTGACAAAGGTAATTGTTAGCAGTCTGGGGGCTCTGGCTGTGGCCACAGTTTGGGGGCTGCCGCTGACCTGGAATCTGATGCTGAGACAAATGATGTCAGAGAAAACAGAATCCAAAAGAGCCAACAAAAAGCCCCGCTGGATGTAGCCTTTCCCAGACACCCCGCGCTCGCTTTCCTGGTTTGAGCTGGGATGTTCCCCGGGAGGGTTCTGAGCTCTCTCCAGACGGTCTTCCGCTTTAATGCCCCAAACCTCACACTCCCTCACCCTGCATCTGACAATGACTGGCAGTGCCTGTGCCTGACCCTGTGTAAAATAAAACTTCTCTTTCTCATGAACAAAACAAACAAGCAACCAAACAAGCAAGCAAAGCCAGGCTGCCACAGATCTAGAGTTCTTAACTGAGACACTGCAAGTTCCTCAAGTACTAACTAAATCACCAAAACGCTCACTTACTGCCTCTGCTCCGTTTTGATATTACATGCATTCTATTATTCTGTAAAAATTACTGGTGCATCTTGGTGACATGTGGGAATTATTAGTCACTCTTTAGATGAACCAGAAGTAGTATCTAGCAGAGGAGTTAGAAAAGTCAGAAAAGGCAAAACAGACCTGAAATGAAAAGTTAACTTTTCCAATAATGGGATTACAGGTGGGCTAACCTGACCTCGGATTTGGGGAGGTCACTAGGCTTTATTTGGATTGAGGACTGTGAAACCTCTTAAATTATACTTTTTCTGTATATTTGTACATTTCAATTTACTTCTGTGTATATGTAGAGAAGATTCAAAATTTTCATAAGATTTTTAAAGCAGTTCTTGAAAAAAATTTGAAAACTATTACATTAGAGGAGACTCCTAGAGATTAACATGAGAATGGATGTGGGAAGAGGTCTGGAAAACTCCCCCTTTTCTTCCTGCTACTGGAGAGTGCTACAATGTATCATGATTACTTGTATGCCAATAGACAGTCTTTGTCTAGGCATAGGTCAGGGAAGACACTAATGAATGATATGTGCGCTATTAATTTTTTAAAATATATTTTATTGATTTTTTACAGAGAGGAAGGGAGAGGGATAGAGTTAGAAACATCAATGAGAGAGAAACATCGACCAGCTGCCTCCTGCACATGCCCCACTGGGGATGTGCCCGCAAACAAGGTACATGCCCTTGACCTGAATCGAACCTGGGACCCTTGAGTCCGCAGGCCGACACTCTATCCACTGAGCCAAACCTGTTAGGGCTGCGCTATTAATTTTTAACTCTAAATTTTTATTTAAAGTGAATGCACAGTTTGTTTTTATCACTTATGACATCTTAAAAACATTAGGTAGTCAGTAGTGTATGAAAATGTATAAATTGCAAAAGTATGAGTAAGCCTATCCTGACCGAAAGAAGGGAGGCAGACATGTATCAACCTAACATTTAGATAAAATGGGAAGGTGTCCCAGGAGGTGGAGAGCTTACACAAAGTAATGGGGAATGGGAGTATTGAGGAATTTGATGTAGCTAAAATCTTGTGAAGGAGGAAAGTGTACGGTGGAAAGACAAAGCTGGGTGAGGAATAGGGGCTAGATCCTGGAGGCCTTGGGTGCCATACTAAGGAATTTGGACAGGATTCTGTAAGCAGAAGGGTTCTGGGTAGGAGAATGGCACACTCTTAGCTATGCCTTAATTCTCAGCAAGGAAAAGGTGGTCTGAAAGAAGACACTGTAGGCAGAAGAGTGAGTGAGAAGGCTATATCTATATTCTTTTAAAATATATCTATTTTTATTGATTTCAGAGGGGAAGGGAGAGCGTGAGAGAGATAGAAATATCAATGATGAGGGAGAACCATTGATGGGCTGTTTCTTGCGGATCAAGCCTGCAACCTGGGCATATCAAATTCCCCTCCTGACCAGGAATCGAACCGTGACCTCCTGGTTCTTAGGTTGATGCTCAACCACTGAGCGACATTAGCTGGGCAAGAAGCAATATCTAGATTCTTGTCCAGAAACAACATGTTTTACCTAGGCTAACAGCAGACAGATGGAAAAAAAGGAGATGGGTGAGAGGAATGTTGAAGAGGTAGAGGCCACACAATCTGGCCAAGTCCACAAGAGACATTACAGCAAAATAGAAATATAAAGTTATACGTGGTGCATTTTCACAGTGAAATTCTTTAGAAGCTTACCTGAAAAACAGATAATCGCACGATTTGTCCCACATATAGTCATCATAGCTTACAACCCAGAAATCACACGCTGTACAACGCAGATGGTCACAGGATCTGTTCAGAGAAAAAGAACTGTACATTAAAGATTATCGGTATGTTTAAATATAAAAAAATACGGTGATTCATAGGATATACCATATATTACAAATTACTGAGTAAACAACAGAAAAATAAAGATTAAACTGATTGTAAATTTTTATACTAAAGGACTAATTATATATCTAAAATTCCAGGTTAATTTCTACATATACCTATTTTACTAAGATCTTATATGCTGACACATTTATGCACACATATATACTGTACAGGTAGAAAAGAAACGGTTGTGTAGATCTTTTAGTTCAATGGTTTTCAAATTGTGCCTGAGGGAAGTCTTCACTTAACTTCTTTAAGTTGCTTCCTTTCCTAATAAAATTTTCAAGAATGCCTTTATCACAGAATTTGCCACGTTATGTAGAAATGAATGTCTCCCCCTTAAGCTACTTAAGTGCTGGGACAGTATCTTATTTGTTTGTTTCCCAGTGGTTGGCATTAATGCATTCATCCACTCATTAAAAAACAAACAAACCATAGGCAAAAGTAGGTTTACAGTTGTGAGTACACAAAACAGTTTATTTTTATATTATTATTTACTAAGTATTGTATTATTTTTCACATAAACAATTGAAAACCTAATTTGCTCCATCCTGTATTTACTGAAAGCCTGCTATGTACTAGTAAGATTTTGTCCTCATGGAGCTTAGATTCTAATGAGAAAAGAAATAAACAGTACTCATCACAATGTTAGAAGATAAAAAATGCTTCAAATGAAATAGTAAGTAGAGCAGGAAAAATAAAACTGAGAGTACTGGAGGGAGTGGCCTGCAAAGGCCTCTCTGAGAAGGTGTACCTGAGTCACTTAAATGGAAGAGGGGTTAAGAGAAAGGAGGGAAAAAGCGAAGATGCAGTGAAGAGCAAAACGATGATGCAGGAAAGAGGACAGAACTGCTAGAATTACACTTAGTGAATGTCTGAGGAATTCAAACGCCAAGCAATTTTTACAGCTCATGTACTACATGTAACTTTAGGAATAAATGATTATGACAAAATTTATGAGTTGCTGCTGCAAACAATTTGATTTGTATAATAATTGTGGCTTACTTTAAAGAATATTGCTTGAAATATTTAAAAACTAGAATCAATATAGATACATTTGATCACCTAAAAATTAAAAGGAAATGAGTTTTTAAGATACCAAGAACAGGAGCATTTGACATCTTGCTTCCCAGGAATGTCATCAGTTAGGCTCAAATAAACTCTTATAGAAATTCTCAAAAACAAAAAACACCAAAAAAACCCACAAACCCAAAACAAAAACAAAGTGAAAAATAGTGGAAGAAAAAATTTTCAGCACAAGGTTCAATACTTACTTATACTGTTCAGAGTGTTTACAAATGACAAAGACAAAGCTTAAAAATATATTCAGCCCTAACCGGTTTGGCTCAGTGGATAGAGCATCGGCCTGTGGACTGAAGGGTCTCAGGTTCGATTCTGGTCAAGGGCATATACCTTGGTTGCGGGCACATCCCCAGTAGGAGGTGTGCAGGAGGTGGCTGATCGATGTTTCTCTCTCATCAATGTTTCTAACTCTCTCTCTCTCTCTCCCTTCCTCTCTGTAAAAAAATCAATAAAATATATTTAAAAAAATATATTCAGTCTCACTAATACAGGTATTGTAGAATGGTAGTTAAGAGCGTAGACTCTGAATACAAATTGCCTAGGTTCAACTACTGATTCTACTATTTTCTAGCTGTGCAACTACAGTCAAGTAACTCAACTTCTCTCTGTAACTGTTTCCCTATATGTAAAATGGGGATACTAATAATTTTTATACATCTTTTAGAATTACAATGAGGACCTAATGAGTTAATAATGTTAAAGTGCTTCTAACAGTGCCTGTTTGTTTAAAAGGTACAATATACAAATAATTAAAATTTAAAGCAACAACAAAATAAATTTTTAACCAATTTAAGTTAGCAAAAATTAGCACCCTCAGATATTTCTGATGGGTATGTGAACTGCTTTAACCTATGGGGTTATTTTAAAGTTAAAATTACCCCTCACTGTTGCACTAGCAATTCCATTTTGGAGAAGCTATTGCATATAAATTAAAGCACCAATATAAGCATATATCTCAAGAATTTCTACTATTGTATTGTAGAAGTGGCAAAAAACAAGATACCACTTGGATACCTACCTAAAAGGGAAAGAAATGAATAACATCCTATCTAATAAAAGAGAAACATGGTAATTAGTGTCACTCCACTACCCTTCCCATTGGCTAATAATTGGCTAGGGCGATATGCAAATTAACTGCCAGCCAAGATTGCGGTTAACTGACAACAAAGATGGCGGCTAATTTGCATACTGCAGGCAGGATGGCGCTGGCCATTCTGCCTGCCCCGCTGCCATCCGGGCCTGCTATCTGTGACCTGGATGGCGGGTGACCCCTGTGCGACCCGACCCAGGGCTGGTGGGCGTGACCCTGGCGGTCCGCCAGCTGTCACACCCCCAACCGGCCCTCCCACCAGGAGATCCGGGCTGGCGGGGCGACTGCTGCCCGTCAGCCATCAGTCACACCTCCCGCCGGGAGATCTGGGCTGGTGGGGCGACTGCGACCGCCAGCAGTCTGCCCGCCAGGCCAGATCTCCCACAATAGTTGCCCCGCCAGACTGGATCTCCCGCAGCAGTCGCCCTCACCAGCCTGGATCTCCCGCGGGAGATCCGGCACTGGCGGGGGTGACTGCTGCCCGTCAGCCATCAGTCACGCCCCCAACCAGCCGTTCCGCCAGGAGATCCGTTCCGCCAGGAGATCCGGGCTGGCGGGGCAACTGACCGCCAGCAGTCTCCCCGCCAGCCCGGATCTTCCCCAGCAGTCGCCCCGCCAGTGTTGTTTTTACATCATGAGTTTTCTGTTATATCATTTTATTATTGTTTATTTATTAATAAAATTGTGTATTATTTTCATATCCATTGTACTCATTTCCTTTTATCTCCCACACTTTTGTTATAGAGAAAGGGCAAATAGCAACATTAAAATATTTCCTCTAATTAATTCCCTTTCAATGTGCACGAATTTCGTGCACTGGGCCACTAGTACAGTATACTTATACTATGCAATATTAGGCAGCTGATAAAGAGAATTAATTTTTCACTGACCTAGAAAGATGTCAAAAACAAGGTGCACAGTAACATATATAGCATGACCCTATTTTTGTAAAAACAACAACAAAAAATTCCTAAACAGGTATTTATAAGGTAAGAACATGGAAGAAAATGTAAATGGTAATATACTATCAAGCCCACACTGGCTGTCTCAGGAATGATGGGAATGGAGGGTGGAAAGGAGATTACTATCCTTCTCTTTATACATTTTTCAAGTTTGTTTTTATTTTTTCAATAAGGATATAATCCTTCTGTAATTAAAAAATAATAAAGTAAAACCCAAATATTTTTCACTTATTTTCCTTAAAATTCAAATATAGTAACTTCAAAATTGCAATTTTTTTTTTTTTGGCTTAACGATTCCTTTGAGAATAAATGCTTTCTGTCTAAAATTATGTTTAATCATAACAGTAACTAAACATTTAAAATCTACACAAGTTTCATAAGTCCATATTTTCTTTTAAACTGTGAGCAATTTATGAAGTTGTACTTGTACATATGGAAATTCAACACAATTATATTTGTATACACTTGTACTTGGATTTTGAACGTACAAAGTCAGGAAATGCAAAATGATGGTTCCCAAAGCTGCCATAGCTTGCTTCCTTATGCATATGCAGTTTGTTACATGATTGCACAGAGTGTTAACTTTAATGCTTTAATACATATGTGCAATTTGGCTGAATTATTGCTGTTGTGGGAACTATAATTTTGAATTTCCTGACGTTCTGTATGTGTAAAATCTCAACCATAATGTTACATACAGCTTTTTAATTTAATTTAAAATTTAGTAGTTTATTCAAATCTATTCACACTACCACAGTTTCCTACAAACACTGTCCTTTGAGAAAAATAAAACTCACTTGCAGCTAAGAAATCACGCTGCTGCTACGATTCACTTTGTTAGATCATAATTAGTACCAGTCTGTGCAATAATCCAGCCTTGCAATAGTTTAAAAAATAATTAGGAGTAAAATTCGATTTGGCTTGAAAATAACGCCTTAGTCTTATCTGTACCTTATTAATGCCACCACGCTTCCTGCTACTACTCTTTCTCCCTTCCCCATCAACGGGGTAAAAACTCAAATCTTTACACTCTAAAATCACTGAGTATTACTCCTAAACCAGAACTCTACCCAGAAATCAAACAAATAAAACACATAAAAAAACAGGCAGAATAGACTCAATTTCACTTATTCCCTGGACGTGTAAATCAGTGCTTATATTCAGGGCTTAAAAATATTTATCTTCCATAACTACATATAGCTAGAGCATACCTAAAATAAAGTAATGGCCTGACTGGCGTGGCTCAGTGGTGGAGCGTCAACCTATGAACCAGGAGGTCACGATTCCCAGTCAGGGCACATGCTGGGGTTGCAGGCTAGATCGTGTGTGTGTGTGTGTGTGTATGTATAGGAGGCAGCCCGTCAATGATTCTCTTTCATCAATGATGTTTCTATCTCTTTCTCCCTCTCCCTTCCTCTCTGAAATCAATAAAAATATATTAAAAATATAATGTAATGATTCCAATGAAAGATAAATTGTCACTTTTCTTTTTCTAAAATGTGGAGGCAATTGAATATGAAGGTGTCATCAACAGTTTTGTCCCTTTGTCCAGCCAATCAATAGAATGTTTATTATTTTGAAGATGTTTATGGTGGGGATTTTCCAAATACAGCCCAATAGAGTCTTCTGCCCAGACCCTGTGGTTTTCAGTAAAATCCTGTCAGATCTACACAGTAGACAAGGGACTCTTGATATCTGGACAGATGGAAAAGAACAGCAGCTGCAGTAGCAACATCAGCCACGGTTCTCCCCTCTTACATATATTACCTGGCCTTCTACAGACTGGTTTACTAGAAAGCATAATGGAGCAGGACTCAGTTACACATTTGAATCCTTGCTTTGTAATACTTTATGTGACCTTGGGCAAAGCACATTACTTGGGAGTCATTCCTAACAATGTTCTCTCTTAGCCGTTAAATTCACTGAATTTTGTCAATTCTAGATTCTAAACAGCTCAAATGTGACACCTTTCCCCTACAGCCACTGCCACCACTCAGCTCACAGCTACCATCATCTCTTTCCTGGACCACTGTGAAATACTGCCTGCTGACTGGCCCTCTCCTGTCTTGCCTCTCACCTTCCAATCCATTTTCTATTCAGCAACTAAAATAACTTCCTTTAGAAACACAAATATGATTAGGTGACTCCATCTGCTAAAAACCAACCAACCAACCAACCACCCACCCACCACTTGCTTTCACTGCATCTATGACCCACTTTTTCTAAAATCTTCAGAGGATTACAGGGCCGCCAACAAACCTAATGTCCCTCGACTCCCTCTCGGCCCCATCAGGAGCCACTCTTCCCCCACTCCCTGCGCTGCAGCTCCCCAGCGGCTCTCAGCTCCTCCCACACGCTTCCCAGCTCAGGGAGCATCGAACATGGCATACCCTCTGGGCCCCACGGTCCCCTCTCTTCGCTTCACTTCTACTCATTTTTCATATCATAGGCTGAGTCGATGTTACTTGCTTAGGGGAGAATTTTCTAAGCCTTCGTAGTAACTGGGGTGCCAATGATCTATGCTATAGTCTTCTGTCCTTCCCCTTCACACTACACATCATGTGAAAATTAAACGCCCATTTTGGGAGTTTTTTGTGTAGGGTCCCTCTCCTCATCTAGACAAGGCTCACGGCGTGTGGCCTCTCACGGGGCTGTTTGGCCAAGTCAGTGTGGGGAGAACGGCATGAAGCTGCGGGGCTGTGCTGCTTCGCTCGTCTTACCAACCGGCTCCCTCTGCCCAGAAGGAAAACGGGAGGCAGACGCTCACCCTCCCGGTCCGGTGGGGGCCAGGCGGGACCGCGTGGTCCAGGCCCTGCACGTGGGGCCCAGAGAAAGGCATCACCACCATGAGCAGCAGAAACCCACCATCACAGCTTTCAACGGCGACCACCCAGAAATGACTGAGATCTCAGTAAAGCGCTCTTGGACTGGCTAAGAAAATACACTTCTGACTATGAAACAGATCGATGCCAAGATATCTGTTTTAAAAACAGGGTATCAAATTGGAAAACCGAGTAAGGAGGTATATTTCTGACATCCCACCTCTGTGAAGTCGTTGTCCCAATTCCACACGGCGCAGCGCTTCCACCGAGGTACACGGGGTTGCAGCTAGGTATGTTCAACAAGCGGGAGAAAAGGAAAATTACAGGAAAGAAATAGGAGACATTAGTTTGGCTTTGTTAACGCTACAGTCTTATAATCAAATTGTGTATTTTCCTGAGCAAGCCAACCATTTTAAAGAAGAGGTGTTTATTCCGGGCTCACTGCTTTATTGGGTAGAACCTGTATCGTCAGGAACACTCAAAGAGTTAAAATGAGTCACAGAGAAATGTGTTTGCCAAATAATGTGAGGGACAAAGTAAATACCGAAGAACATAACAGAACATTAATTTTGAGAAAGTGTTCACACTTTTTTTTTTCACATGGCAGAAAATTATTTACAATAGCAATAATCTCTCATTCAAGTTCCTTTCCACTAAGGGGTCACAGACCATAGGAACACGAAAGATATTGCTATTGGTCTTTCTCCTGAAAGCCAACCAGTGCTTTGTTGTTCAATGTCACTGTTGTTTAAGGTAATAAAATCGCCTAGACTATGCTCATAGTGTTTGCTCACTAGTGTGTATAACTTACCAAAGCAATCTCAACTTACCTTTTACCGCGGCCTTGAATGGGAGCACTGACAGATGTGTTACCTGAAGATTTAGGTTTTAATTTCTGTTATGAAAACAAAACAATAAAAGGCCAAGAGTAACTTAGATAATTGTAACATGAAAACTAATAGTCTTCATTTTATAACAAGAATATTTTTAAAATGACTTAAAATAAAAAACTTGTATCATTTTAAAGTTTCCGAAGTAAAAACAATGATCAAAACCTTTTTCTTAAAGGCAAAAGGGAAGTCGACCTCCCTGTGGAATTTGCAAATTACTCTGCTTTTAGTCTAGGAAATTGATATACTGCCATTATTAGCATGCTAAGATTTAGAGTCACTTTATAATTCTTCAATTAATACTGAAGTTCAATGATTTAATATGAAGGGCCTTCTATTTAAAACCTCATCCTGGAAAAATTCAATTGAGGGGAAAAAAACACCTCAAACTCATTTTTAAAGGCTGTGAATAGTACTCACCTGAACTAAAAATAAACTAACGAAACTCCTGGGCAACTTCAGGAATATTAATTTTGATCAAGTGGAAAGGTATCAACCAACAGGCATTTGAGGAGAATGCGGACCTACCTAGTCACAACCATACAGTAGTTCCTATATGGTTACATAACATCGTCATCATTAGCAGGCATTTATTAAGTGTTAACTGGTGTATAGTACCAAACAACATAAACCCACATACTAAGCCCACCGCCAAGAAGAGGAAGTGAGATGGAGAAAAGGCAATTTAAACTATGCAGCAACGTGGCTTCATTTGACCTAGGAGGCAAAGATATTTTATTTTACTACTTCTTTTAACTCTTCTATTTGATGTTAAACAGAACTGGAAAAATTTGGGGCACACGTCTCAAAAATAATAACGTGCATGAGTCTCCTTCTGCTTTTCCAAAGGTTTCATGTACCATCCAGGCTCCTGCTTATGACCTGGAGCTGGCAAACTGTGATGTTTACTGTAGTTTCTGGGCTCTTGTGTGGGCCTGAGAGCAGCAGAATGGGCAAGCAGCGGGGGAAGGAGCAGTACTCCCAGGAGCTTGATCTGGCCTCTGAGGACGAGGTGGGCATGGATGGGCCATTCAGACGCTTCTTTTCCTTACCCACTCAAATGTTTTACATAGACCTGCTCTCCTTCAGAAGTTTATTTGGGTTTCTTTCTCCCTTGCAGGCTGGAAACCTGAATATAACTTAAAAAAGGAGCATGCAGAAGAAGTACATAAAAGTTTATTTCCTCATGATTGTAAAAGTTACTTTTATTTCAAATTAGTATATCTTTTTTTGTCAATCCTCATCCAAGGGTAATTTTTCCATTGGTTTTTAGAGAGAGTGGAAGGGAGAGAGGAAGGGAGGGAGGGAGGGAGAGAGAGAGAGAGGGAGAGGGAGAAAGAAAGAATCATTGATGTTAGAGAGACACATTGATTGGTCGCCTCCTGCATGTGCTCCAACTGGGATGGGGGATTGAACCTGCAACATTTTGGTGCTTGAGTACACTGGCCAGGGCTCAGATTTGTGTATCTTAAAGCCAAGCCAGAGACATATTTCCTTCTGCTTTTGAAATGCCATGAACTGAAGAAATGGTGTCTCACATACAGATATTCACTCTGTAAGTACTTAATAATTAATTGCTCAGGTGATCAATGAATCACAAGAACATCATGTAGTTTATTTTTTCTACTATTGATTAAATCAGCATAGCTATTTGGCATTTATGATGCATTCTTGTTCACAGAGTATTCAACACCATTGCTATTGGGCTGACATGTAAATCAATGAGGCCACCAGCTTATTAATTACCTTGGATTAATTAAAAATGTTAAATTTAGAGAAATAAAGATAAGGTCTATACTAGCCATTTTATTCTTTGTCTGGTTGACAAAAACGTAACTAGCCCATGTCCATATCCTTAACACCAGCACTGCCTAGTGGTGTTCAGTCCACTGTCTTGCTTTAGTCTTCCCTACCCTTAAAAAGACTTTGGTATTATAGTTATCTTTTTAGATTTATTTTTCTTTGTGGTCCTTGTAACTCAGACTGTCATTTGGTCTCTTTATTTAAAATCTAACAAATATATTTTATAATGACCAAAATGGTAACAATTAAAGTATATAAATGCTCATACACTACTGGTAAGAAGACTATAACTGATACAGCACTTTGGAGAACACTTTGGCAATGGGTAAAAAACTGAACATGAGCACACCTTAGAGCCTAGCAATTCCTCTTCAAGGTTTGCACATCCTAGAGAAACTCCTGTATGTGAGTAAAAGAAGAGTGCCAAGGTATCTGAAGAGGCATTGTTTGTAAGAGCAACGACTGGGCATAATTTAAATGTCCATTACCAGGGAAGTGGATAAACTATGGTAGAATTATTTAACAAGGTATTATTCAGCAATGAAAATGACTTATAGTGAATACCTATGTAATAAAAGTATACAAGTATGGATAGAAAGGTTAGTGGTTACCTCTGGGTAGGAAGGCAATTAAGTAGGATTTGGAGTTTTTAAACTATACTTATAATTTTTATTTAAAAAATTAAAGCAGCCGAAACCGGTTTGGCTCAGTGGATAGAGCATCAGCCTGCAGACTGAGGGGTCCCAGGTTCGATTCCGGTTAGGGGCATGTGCCTGGGTTGCGGGCACATCCCCAGTAGGAGATGTGCAGGAGGCAGCTGATCGATGTTTCTCTCTCATCGATGTTTCTATCTCTCTCCCTTCCTCTCTGTAAAAAATCAATAAAATATATTTAAAAAAAAAAATTAAAGCAAAGCAAATATGGCAAAACATTAATATATGTTCAGCATGAGCAGTATATAGGTGGCTGTTATATTATTTTATAACCTTTTCATAGAGTTAATGTAGATACACAAGCATTTACTAGTAACTATTTAAAATATTAACAATGTAGTCATGGGTTATGGGATAACAGCAATGGCATTGCATCTGAGATGCTAAGCACATTCCTATATGAAAGCTGTTTGTTTTCGGTCTTTCAGAAAAGTGTTCTTATAGAGTCTATAAATAAATACAGGTAACCAACTTCAACTATGAGTTGACTTTTGTTATAGCAGCTTTTCTAATTTCGCATTCTTGCTGAAAATGAATAGCAAAAAACACACAGAGTTTCTAATATTTTATTTCTTCTACAACTCTGTGGAATAATTTATTTAGATGATAGTATTTCTCAGAATGCAAAGAACTATAGATACTTGTGCATTCTGTAAGTTTTCAGACTATTTTAAACATCTTAAAATTGAAAAAAATTATTGCATATTTATAACACTTGACTTACAAAGGATTTTTTATCAAAGATGGGATCTTCAAATATTTCATTAATAAGACTGTCAAGATCATCTTCTTTTTTAAATCTTCCTGTTGATCTGAAAAATAAAACAAAACAGCTGAAGCTTAAGAGCACATAAAGTCAGCCAGTAATAGAAGAGTTTTATTTAAATAAAGTCTATTATTAGAGTTGATAACAAAGGATAAATGCGACATTAGTTTTTTTCCTGCTATGGACACAACCTAAGTTTGTTGACAAAAATGTAAGTTGTCAGTTACAAGTTTACATACTTAATATAAGACATTTAAAGCTATACATTTTATTCAAGAAAAAGCTGGGCATGTACTTTTAAACATCGACTACTTATCTAAAGAGCAGTTGTTCCTGGTATCCAGATGTCTCATGGTCATTTATTTTATTATTTGCAGAGCTATCATTTAAAGGGACAACTTCAGTATTTTAACTCTCATAAGGAAAAGATACAGGCTACTTCACTATACAAGGGACAGGTAGTCTCCTGTTCATAAATTCATAATATAAATCAGTTCCTAACTTTTAAGTATCAATGCTGGCTCAGGAAGATTTTTTAATGTTTGACATTATGTATCCAGTAGGGATAGTATTTGGTATTAGGTTTAGGGCCTTTGCTGCTGTTGCATAATTAACCCTTACAACTACATGGTCAAGTGAAAAGTCTGAACACATGAAAACTGCACTGGCTTGCTACAGCTTTTATAAATGTGTTACTGAAAAATGTGGTGTAGTAAGGTGAGGTGGGGTGCTGGAAGCATTACGGCTCGACTGGAGCCGTCTAAAAGGACCTGTGTCTGGAGAGCACCCGCCTTAGCAGCCCTTTCCATGTTAAGTGGCCTGATGCCAGACGTCCTACCACTCTGCACCTAGTTCTCCTAAGACAGTGGTCCGCAAACTGCGGCTTGCGAGCCACATGCGGCTCTTTGACCCCTTGAGTGTGGCTCTTCCACAAAATACCATGTGCGGGCAACAACATACAAACCTGACTTACCCAAACTTCCCAAGGAGATGCAAGACCATTTTTCACATTAGTGTTTGTCAGTCATCATTGTCATGATTTAATTTTATGGATATGGTAAGGTAAATTGTAAGGAATTTAATTTTATCAGTAAATAATATCGTTATTAAGTATGATACCAAGTTTTATTCAATGTCCCTATAGTTTAGCTAAGACTTAAAACTTTAAGTAAAGTTTATTAAGTTAATTTTAGGGAATGTTGTGGAGTGAAAGAAGATGTAGTGTCGAGGATTGAGAAAGGTATGTTGAGATGGTTTGGACATGTAGAGAGAATGAACGAAAGGAGACAGATGAAACAAGCATACAAGACGAGTGTGGATGGGAGAGTTGGAAGGGGCCGACCTCAGCGAACGTACCTCAATCAGATTGAGGACATTTTTACCGAAGGCCAGCTTAGGAGTAGCCTCATTAAGTTAATAACAATGTACCTACCTATATAGTTTAAGTTAAGACAGACAGACACTTGGATGGCTCTTTGATAAATTCTCCCCATTCCCTACAGGAACGAATAAAAAGAATAAAAGAAATCGCAAGGTGATATTGCTGTGGGACTGGGATGGTAGAGGTGCCGGGAATGAGCACAAAAGGATCTCCAGCACGTGTATGCTAATGAGCAAATGAATGAGTGATGCCTGCATAAGCATCCAATCAAATGAACGCTGGCCCATTCAAAGTGGTCAATTTTGTTGGCGCTACACTTACTTTTTTTAAAGAATGCTGCTTAGTACTCAACTGCTTTTTAGAACTTGTGTCTGAGCTTCAGAATCTTTTCAATGTATTTATCTTCTGAGGGTGAATTTTTGTAAACACATGTATGTCATTAGAGGCAAGACTGGTAAATTCGCTAACAAAACACTTGTGGGAATCACGCACACGCACAGCAAAACCGAACCACAGACGCAGCCGTAGCGGACAAGAGTGCCTTTCTCGGTGGTTCCAACGCTGTGCGATTCCGCAAGCGTCGCCAGCAGGAGCTCTAGCGAGAGGTGCTGCCGAGGCTCACTCGGAAGGACAATCTCATTCAGACACAACATTTGTGTTCGTTTGTTTTTTGGGGGTTGAGGGGGACATGAGACGAAGAAGGAAGTCCTCTTCTTGTGATTACACAGAAGAAAAAGACTGACAAATTCCAACGGTCGTTTTTCGGATCAAATATGACTTAAAATCTTCCCCCAAATCCTCCGAGCCAAAGAAAAACAAAAATCAGCCGAAGACAACAGAACGGAATGATTTTTTTGGCAACCATTGTTGCAAGGGTTACTCTGCTTGGGGAACGGGGTCAGAGGCAACAGGCTGAGGTTCTCTGCGGGCACCTCACGGGGGTCACCCAGGGAGGGCCCCGAGCGGCCCCCCTCCCTCCCCGCCTCCGTGAGGACCCCGGGCTCGGTCTGGGGGAGGCGCGGGCTGCAGAGGCGGGGCCCGCCCTCCGCGCCGCGCCGGGGGCGGAGTCAGGCCCGGGAAGAGGTGCCCCAGACCCCCGCACCCGGAGCTGGGGAGTGCGCGGCCCCAGGGGTGGGCACTGGGAACCGTGGCGCGAACCGGGAGCAGAGCTGGCAGGGAGGCCTCGGGGCTGGGAGCCGGCTTCCCCAGAAGAGCCCCCCCTCCCCTCCCCTCCCGCCCGGTAACCTGAGCTTTTCGTTCGCCTCGGCTCGGCTCCGGTCGCTGCCGAGGATGCCGCCGCCGCAGCCTTTGGGGCGCTCCGCCACGCCCAGTCTCAGCGGGTCTGGTCTGCAAAACTTGGACTCAACCTCATCCAAGAGCTCGTCCAGGTCCTTCGCCATCTTGAAAGGCAACGGTTTCTCTCCGCTCACCTCGGGGCATCAGCCCAGCGGTTTCCAGGGGCAACGCGAGAACGCGCCGCGCGCGCCCTCCCCTGCGCCCCCGCCCCCCTGCGCATGCGCGCGCGGTGCCGAGGCGGCCCGGGCGGGGCGCGCGCCGGACACGCTCGCGCCGAGCTCAGCCCCGTGTCCGCGCGTCTGCCGGCGCGGGGGTTCCCGGGACGGCGGTCCGCGCTCTCCCTTCCTGCGCGACCTCGCGACGTTGCTTTGCCTTCACTCGGTCCAGGTTGTCGGGCGCGTTTCGGTCCCATCTCCCCCTCCTGGGTCCAGATGGTCACTACACTCACATGACTCCCGAGCTCCTTCGTCCGCTCCTCTTCCGGGCTTACCGAGGGGTCCCTGTTGTACCGCGGCCATTCTTACAGGCCTTAAATTATCTGCGGGGAAAATGGAAAACACTCCGAAAGGAAAACAAACAGTATTGGCAGCAAAAGTTTGGTTCCCGTAGTCGGCAGGATTCGAACCTGCGCGGGGAGACCCCAATGGATTTCTAGTCCATCGCCTTAACCACTCGGCCACGACTACCTCTGCTAATTTCAGCAGTGAAATCTATATGGAGCCTATGCACGTGTCTGCTACAGTAACATTGGGATCGAGGAAAGAAACGTAAGAGAATATTTGAATGGTCTGGCTCTAATCGTTTTAGCGTTTTGAAAGGACTCTTAGAGCACATCCCCTCCAAACTTCGCCCCTCCATCAGAAAAACTGAGTTCTAGTCGATCTGTAGAGTTAGACAACAGGGGAGCGGGAGGAGAGCCCAGCGTTACTGTACACCCGCTTGCCCGGCGGTGGAGCCATTTCCAGGAGGGAACCCGAACGCTGGGGCGGCCGACCAGCCTTTGGGCTTCCTGGCCTTGCTCCCAGCTTCATTCCCCAGCCTCGCTCTTCAACAAACAGCTCCCAACAGTTCTTTTTTCATCCACTAGGTGACTAGGGCATTAAAATGCTATTTCCCCACCGATCTAAATTCGTTATGTCCCAGCGTTCCATGAAAGCACTACTTTGAAAAGAGTAATGGGTGATAACAAATGTAAGGTATTGTCACTTAATGGTATTCCTACAAATACTACACAAACGTAACCCGAACTTGAAATATTTCTAAAGTGGGGGTAGCAAAGAGATCGGCACCCTTGGAGACGAGATAGTTTGATCCAGATGATTTAGTGGCTTCATTTATTTGGTTTGTTGTTTGTTGAAAATAACTTGAATGACCCCGAAGAGCAACTTGCAGCAGTTGTGCTGGAGCGAAAGGTACCCGCTTACTAGAGCCCACTGTTAAATTTTCCCTACATTTGGGTGCCAGTTGTTAATGCAAACGTTATTAAGATTAAATTATATACGCATAATAAAATTATGGAAACAAAAGTAATACTCAAAAATCACCATGGTCTAGTTACTTCATCACCTTTACTATAATTTATGCTTGAGGTTATTTACATCTATTGTATCTGAAATACTGTGCAATGGTTTGCTATTGTGAATCTCTTCTTAAGTTTCCATTCAGCGATGTGCTTGGGGAACTTGAAATTAGCCTTCGCGGGTGCATTTCCACTAAGGAACTTGCAAATACAAGAAAATAATGGCTTTTTCTCCCTAAAAGCTGATTGTGAAACATTTACCAGCATGCCACTTATGTTACCATCCCACCACCTTGAATATTCCCAGCAAGGCCAAAACGCTCCTTACAATGCAGGGCTGCCCTGGTCATTCTCCCTGCAGCTTTGTTTGAGCGACTAGCGTCCTGGCATATTGTATGATTGCCCACTCAATTTTTCAAAAAAAATTTTTTCTCTCCCCCCCCGCCCCGTCCTCAAGTTGCCTTGCAGTGTGATTGTATTTGGAATTGTCCCCCAGCACTTGATATTGAAGTTGCCCTTACAACCTGGTTCCAGGGGGAGTAATGAAGAGTTGCCATCCAGTTTAATGGGCTTAAGTTAATGATTTGATTTTTCTCTAGAAACGATGAAATCTGAGATGGTATATGTCAGTAGAGTTGACTGTTGAACAACACAGGGATTAGGTGTGCAGAACTCTGTGCAGTGGAAAATCCTCTATAATTTTTCGGCAGCTTTTGGTCAAGATGGTGGAGAAGGTAAATGTTGTCCTTGCATCCTCACATGACAACTTCAAAATTACAACTAGACTGCAGAATCACCGCCGTTGAGAGCCACCTGAAGTCTAGCTGCACAGAAGTTCTGTAAGTAAGGATATGCAGAAGTCACATTGACACTGGTAGGAAGGGCTGAGATGTGGAATGAGCAGGCTCCACTCAGCTGTGGTGGTCGTCCCTGAGTGAGGGGTCCCGGCCCCACCCGAGACCCCCAACCCGGGGTTCCAGTGCCAGGAAGAGAGGTCCCCATAACGTCTGGTGGGTAAAAACCAGAGTAGATTGCAGTTGAGTGAGGAGGAGGATTGCTGGAGTCCCAAGTGTTCTCCTTAAAGGGCCCATGCATAGACTCACTTGCTGACAAACTCACTTGCCCTGAGCTCCAGTACTGGGGCAGCAGCTCAAAAGGCATCAGGGCCAGACGGAGAGGAACTGAATTGCCTGGCTCCAGGGCAAGGGTTCCCCAGACAGAGTGCTGGCAGAAGCCATTGTTCCTTTACTGAGCCCGCCCACTATAGGTACAGGTGAGGGCCATATCAGAGTCTCCATCAACCTGGCTAACACTGTTTGCCCCATTCTGAGGATTCCCTGAGACCCCACCCAATTTTTGGGCCCACCCAAGCTACTTCCAGTGGTTATTTCATACAAATAGCCTGCCTTGGCTCATGCTGTGAACTCTCTTAAAATCTTTCAAAAGCAGCATTTTGCTCAGTGTGCCCTATACCTCTTGCTGTGTGGCCTCAGGCCAGCCACTAGCGGCAGCCAGCCTTGGTTTGCAGCTTGGCCTCTACCAGGCGCATCCAAGCCCAGCCGAAGTGGTAACCATCTACAGATCACTTTGAATGGCATGCTTATGGCCCCAGGCAGGGCATAGGCAATTGCTGATCTTGGCCTGTACCTGCTGGATGCCCTGGAGCCAGCACACCCAGTGGATAGCATTAGACCATGTTGGAGCACCACCCAACCACCTCCATGAGTGAGACACGCAAAGGACAGGCTTGGGCCCTGACAGTGTTGTTCAGTGGTTAGAGCATCCGCCTGTGAACTGAAGGGTCATAAATTCGGTTCCCAGTCAAGGGCAGGTACTTGGGTTACTGGTTTGATCCCTGGCCCCAGGGTGTGTGCAGAAGACAACCACTCAATGTGTCTTTCTCACATCAGTCTTTTCCTCTCTCTCCTCTCCCCCCCTTTTCCCTTCTACTTTCTCTAAAAATCAAGGGGAAAAATATCCTCAGGTGAGGTTTAGCAAACAAACAAAGAAAGGGCAGACTTTGTGGGCACCAGAGCCCTGCTGAAGTGAGTTCTGTTCCATAGGGTCAGCCTCTGCATAGCAGCTCCTCCCCTATAGTCATGGCTGGTCTTGCAACCAATGGCAATCAAAGCTCATCTACCTGGAGCACCCTGCTTGGGTAACCTGGGAGGCTTTACCACTGGGCCTCGCAAGACATCTACTACTTAAGGCCATGCTACCAAGACTGGGAGAATGTAGCAACTCACCTGCTACATAGAAACAAACTAAATTAGGGGACAAAGAAACATGTCCCAAATGAAAGAACAAGACAAAACCTCAAAAAAGAACTAAACAAAATGGCGACAAGCAATCTATCAGATGCAGAATTTAAAATGCTGGTCATAAGGGTGATCAACGAACCTAGAGGAAGAATAGATCAACTCGGTGAGAACTTCAGCAAACATACAGGAAACAAAAATCGAGGTAGAAAACAGAAAAAAGGACCAGTCAAAAATGAAGAGTACAACAACTGGAATGAAGAATACACTAGAGCAGTGGTTCTCAACCTTCTGGCCCTTTAAATACAGTTCCTCATGTTGTGACCCAACCATAAAATTATTTTTGTTGCTACTTCATAACTGTAATGTTGCTCATTACTGTTATGAATTGTAATGTAAATATCTGATATGCAGGATGGTCTTAGGCGACCCCTGTGAGAGGGTCGTTCGACCCCCAAAGGGGTCGCGACCCACAAGTTGAGATCCGCTGCACTAGAGGGACTTAAGAAGATGAAGCAGAGCATCAGAGCAGCAATTTAGAAGGTAAGGTAACAGAAAACACCCAATTAGGACAGCAAAAAGAAGCAAGAATTAAAAAAAAAATGGGGCAGCTTAAGGTGCTTCTGGGACAACATTATACTAATACTTGCATCATGGGGGGTGAGAGAGAGAGAGAGAGAGAGAGTGAGAGAGCAAGAATTTGAAAACCTATTTGAAAAAAATAATGACTGAAAACTCACCTAACTTGATGAAATAGACACACAAGTCCAGGAAGCACAGTGAGTTCCAAGCAAGATGAACCCAAAAAGGTCCACACCAAGACACATCATAATTAAAATGCCAAAGGTTAAAGGCAAAGGGAGAATATTAAAAACAGCAAGAGAAAAGCAGTTAGTTACCTACAAGGAAGTGCCCATAAGACGGTCAGTTGATTTCTCTACAGAAACTTGCAGACCCAAAAGGATTGGCACAAAATATTTAAAGTGATGAAAAGTAAGGGTCTGCAACCAATATCACTCTACCCAGCAAAATATCATTTATAATTGAAGGATAGATAAAGAGCTCCCAGACAAGAGAATGCTAAAGGAGTTCATCACCACCAAACCAGTGTTACAAGAAATATTAAAGGGATGACTTTAGGAAGGAAAAAAAAAGATTAAAAAATATGAATAACAAAATGTCAACAATTACTTTAAATGCAAATGGATTAAATGCTCCAATCAAAAGACACAGGGTGGCTAAATGGATGAGAAAACAGGATCCCTACATATGCTATCTATAAACCCTAGACTTGAAGCAGTAAATCTTTACTTTAGATTTAAAGAAGTAAAGACTGAAAAGTAAAGGGCTTAAA